TCAACTCTCCCAAATACACCCCCAAAAAAGCCAACCAAAACAAACAAATAAACACACCCTCAGACTTAAGTACTTATACTTCACCATCTCAGCATCTAAATCCCACGACCTATAACCTAAATCCCATGCCCCCGCCTCTTGACCTATTATACCCCAACAACCTCTGACCTAAGTTCTCCGACCTCTGACCTCCCACAGACTCGCCCATGAACTTCCTCCAGCCACAGACTCGCCAGATGTCGCTGTCTATGGAGATGGCGGAGATTGTTCAGCGTACCCAGCCCCCAGCCTCTTCCACCGCTGCTAGGGCCGCGGCCACCAATGCAGGGGCCGCCATCCTCAACTGGAGCAGCAGCAACAGCAACAGCAGCAACAGCAACAGCATGGACACGGGGGAAGAGCTGTACACCACGGATAACGGACACAGGATCGTCGTCCGGAGCGCCAGCGCCAGGGGGTCCCCTGACCTCAGGAAGGGCAAAGGGTAAGGGTCAGGGTAAAGGTCAACTCTGGTGTGGGCATGTGGATAAGTGGAGGAGTTGTTTGAGCTGTGGGATAGGGGACGATTATTATATTTTCTGCGTGTAGAATTTTTTTTTCAAAGCTAGCGGTTGGGGGGGAGGGGTCCATTTGCACTCTGTCTTATCGTTGTTTTTGACATTTACGAAAGGAAGGAGAGTAGGGATGCATATTTGAGAAAGAGGGATGTTGGACTAGGGGGTGGTAGCAAAGTATGTGTGGTGGGAGGGTGTGTGAAAGATTCAATAATGCACGCCTGAAAAATGATTTTTTTAAAAGTTTCTTTCTGAGTTTTGTTTGTTTGTTTTGTTCGATTCTCCTGGAAAAGGGGGATTATATATTTCCTAAATGCAGCTGCTCTCAGAGACACCTTTTAAAATATTTTACGCCCCTATTGACACATTTTACATCATTTATGAGGCGACTTTTGACCATGCCTATTGGGCCCACCCGGTGTGAGAGACATAATATTCCAGCAAAAAGACCGAGAAGCTAGATAAGAGATTTTCCCCACTGGGAATCGAACTCACGTCTCCTGCGCACTACAGTGGAGCTCGTATTCGCCCAACCATTGGCTCTGATTCTCAATTTCTATTATATTTCAAAATTCACTTTAACGTTTGATTAAAGACCCCGAACTGATCCTTCGTAATCCTCTCCATTGCCTACGTTTACTGTTATTTCTCAGTCTCGATACTCTCCTATCTAGCCATCCATTCATCCATCCATTCATCCATCCATCCTTCCATCCCTCCATCCACCCATCCGTCTATCTATCTATCTATCTATCTATCTATCTATCTATCTATCTATCTATCTATCTATCTATCTATCTATCTATT